TCTGCACAACATACTTTTGTTTCAATTTTTTTTATTTTTTATTTTTACGTACACATACACGTGATTTTGGGTTCGTATGCGTACGCTGGAATACGTACGCGTACGCACTGCGTATGCGTACAGCGTAGTACCCAACTTTGCTCATTCTATTGATGTAGTTATTGTTTACTCATGCTTTGTCCATTCCGTCAAACCATTGTGAATCACCACTTCATCCTTGGTTGTACTAATCGTATGTGAGACCCTAGACCCGTACATCTTGCCATTTTCTCACTAAACATTGCGTCACCTCGCTCATGAATGCCACCTTCAGCCATGTGTGCATGGTAAACGTTCTCCGCCCCCCATGTTCTTTATTTGAATGTCACTCTCACCCCCCCGTGCTTTGTTTGAACACTGCTTCACCCCCTCGTACTCTACTTGAACACGGAAAGAAGGGGAAATTATTAGGGGACTGCAGTTGTTGCTGCTGCTGTTGCTGCTGATAATGAGGCTGTTGTTGATGCTACTGATGCCTGACCAAACTCTTGACTACTGCTAATGTTGAGAAACCGTTGTCCAGCACCCAGGGCAAAGGCCGGTCCGAAATGGCCAACGGGCCGGTGCGGTCAGGGGTGTCGGAAACCAACTTCGCCAAACAAGGGATATGGGGGCTGATACTTGGCAGCCCCCATATCCTAGGCATAGATAGATGGTCTGCCAAACCCCCAGGCCATCTAAGTCTATCTTCCCACAAAAATGGAAAATGGACTTCCTCGAACTGTTCACTTAGAGCCTCAGGCGGTGCTCGAAACAGGCAAATAGGGGCAAAACGGCGATGAAATCAGGACCAATTTTAGGAGGGCCGTCGGTAGGGTATAGACAGAGGGCTTGTGAAGTTACGTGGCCATCTGACGTCATTTAGGCCACCAAACGCAAATCTGAGTTTTCGGCTCTCCCCCTTAACAAAATTGGCAAAAACGAAAAGTTCGCAAATCTGAGAGTTTCGGGGTTTGAGTTTTTTTTGCAAGTCTGAGTTTTGCAAAATCTGAGTATCTGTGGCAAATCTGAATTCCAGAAATCTGAGTTCTCTGATGATCCGGGCGTTGGGACAAAGAAAGTAGGAACAGACGGGGAGCCTAGGAAACCATCTCCACACCTTCACCCATCCACCATAGCCAAGTACCTTCACATTTTCTTTCACCTCCACCTCCTTCACCTATCCACCGTAGCCAAGCACCTTCACACCTTCTTCCACCTCCACCTCCTTCACCCATCCACCATAGCCAAATACCTTCACACCTTCTTCCACCTCCACCTCCTTCACCCATCCACCATAGCCAAGTCCCTTCACACCTTATTCCACCTCCACCTCCTTCTTCCACCTCCACCTCTTTCACCCATCCACCATAGCCAAGTACCTCAACACCTTATTCCACCTCCACCTCTTTCACCCATCCACCATAGCCAAGTACCTTCACACCTTTTTCCACCTCCACCTCCTTCACCCATCCACCATAGTCAAGTACCTTCACATCTTCTTCCACCCCCACCTCCTTCACCCATCCACCATAGCCAAGTACCTTCACACGTTCTTCCACCTTCACCTCTTTCACCAACCTATGCCACGATCCGAGGTACATAAGGCAGCAAATCGTTAGTGGGATCATAGGTAGGACGGTAGGACAAGTAGAGGGTAGGCTTTGATTAGGCTTAAGCTCTCTCTCTCTCTCTCTCTCTCTCTCTCTCTCTCTCTCTCTCTCTCTCTCTCTCTCTCCCCCTCCTTTCTTGATCTCCAACCTCTCTCATCCCCCTCTCCCACACCATAGGGTTAACTCTTACTCTTTCTTCCCTTTCCTTTTGACATGCAACTAACTCTTCCCCACTTACTTGTTACATTGTCAGAGTACAAACGGTGAAAGAACTCTGATCTCACTTGGTGGAAGGAGAGGGCAAGGGAAGGGTTGTCGATCCCTTGTGCCACTAAGAAGAAAAGAAGAAGAGTGTTTGAGGGCTTGAAGGTGGACAAGTCCAAGAGGGACTAGAGAGGATCGCTGAGAAAAAGCAAGGTCAGTTAACTCAACTAGAACCCCTACTGCATGACTAAAAGAAGAGGATGACGTGGATAATGGAAGGAAATAAGAAGGAACCTAAGGACAAGGAAATTAGGCATGTGGGAGGGACTATGTGTTGACCCTAAATGGGGGTTATGTTTGTCTGCATTGTGTTGAGTGTGCAGGTGAGTAGCCTTTAAGATACCTTGAGCTCGACTATGCACGGATAAGCCGGGCGGCAAAAGGAAAGAGGGACAAAAGCTAAGCGGGTTGTGAACGTAACCCTTGCCTATGAATGAGAACTTGTGTGCATGCGGCTCCGAGTGTGAATGAAAAGAAAAGTATGGTCTGTATAAGCCTGTGAAAATGTCGGACGATCGAGACGGCCGCCAAGTCATATGAGTATGTGGGTGGGAACCCCGAAAAGACTAAGGGGTGCATAGGGAAGCAACAAAACATGATGCATGAGGTGTGAGACAAAGAAGGCTAGTGCGTAGACCGACTAAGAGGATAAGGGCATCCCCTACCACAATGAAGCTATAGGATCAATGTGTTAGCGAATGGATGCATGGCCCAAGTAAGACGCTTGGTCTGCTCATAAAAAAAAGGAAGTTTCTCAAAGGACCCCTAGACTGCTTGAGTATTGGAAAGAGCAATAGTCTGCGAACACAACGAAGTATCAAGGAAAGGACGCTTGCTGGGGATCAACAAAACTACCCACCTAGCGAGAAAGTTGAGCTACATCCCCAGTGTCAAAGCTCTCTCGCTCTTTGGCCCACCCCCATCCATCTCAAAGCACTAGGTGGGGGTGACCCTGTGACGAATGGCCTCGCGCCCTGATCATGAGTGTGGGCGGAGCCGAGCCAACTGGGACCCGCAGAAGGGTCGACTCAGGCTCTAAAGTCTAAGAGGGTGGGGCCCTACACCGTGCTCGTAGTCGAGTTGCACAGGCTGGTGCCCGCACGTTTGTTGTCCCTCAGGTAGACCTCCCCCAGGGTTTCGTCCCTCCTCGCGGAGCCTTATCCCCTGAGGAGCGCGCCGCCCTCGAGGCCCGTCGCGGTTGCCTTTGTTGCTGCTAGGATGGACACACCTCCTCACGGTGTCTATACCATGCCGCCCTCGATCGACACTATGCTGATATTTCTCGTCAGCGCCGATCTCAATCCCCCCTCCGCCCCCGCCCGACCAGTCGCATCCAACTAGCCACGGTGCAGTGTACCGTTGAGGCCTCGCACGTAGCCGGCTTCCCGACCACCGCGTCACGGTTTGCCTCATTGGCTACCACACCAGAGGTTCCTCAAGACAGGACAGACGCAGTTCCCTTTGCCGCACCATCTGTCGAGTTACCGTCTGCCCCACAATAGACCGCCCCATCTAGTCGTTCCCCTCCGAGACTTCCGACGCCTCGCACCATTCACACAACTCGTTGTAGCGCTTAACTGACGACTCGCGATGACGTTGTGTCATCTCTCCTAGATTTGAGCATTTTCCAGACTCGTCAAGAGCGACTCACGAGACACGTAAACGTCCTGCGTCGTCTTCTCGTTATGCTCTCTAACTCTGATCACACCCTCCCTATCATTCCTATTCGCTTAGGGACATCCATGAGGGTGTACCACGCTTTATGGAACTCCGGCTCGCAGTGAAATTTTGTTTACCTTTGCGTGGTTGAGGAAGCTCGTCTAGCTACCTTAGGGTCTCGCTCTCCTATCTCTGTTACCCTCGGAGATAACAAGACGCAGTGCTTCTTTGATCAGACGGTCCCCGAACTCCACTTTTCCCTCACCGTCCAGCCACCGGATAGTACCGATACGCTTCGACGCTACCATTCCTCCGCATACTTCGACGTGCTGGAGACTGGGTACGACTTTATCCTCAACACTCCCTGGTCATGCCAATTTCGCAGCACAAAGGCCGAATGAGCAACCGAGACACTCGTTCTCAGAACGAAGTGCGGTCAGACCCATCGAGTCCCCTTCATTGGAACCACTGGCGATACCCCTCCCGACCTACCTCCCGAGGAACCTCGTCCCTCTGGGTCCTACCCAAACATCACCTTCACTTCTCCTCGCCAATTTGCTCACTTCATACGCCAGGCGGACGTCAGGTTCTACTCAATGAATGCCATGTATCTTCTTCGCTATGATCCACTCTGCCCAGAGGTTGAGCTCATCTCTTTGGAGCCCGATCTCCCTGACCCTTCCTCCATCTTCGCGGCTCCCATCTCTACATCCACCCCTTAGGAGCTGGATACCTTCTCGACATCCCTAGTCCCCGCGCCGTCCATTATTGAATGCACATATACGTCTCGTATTGACGCAGACGTTGAGGAACTCATACGGATCACGACCGACTCAGAGCCCGCAGTTCACAATCTGATTTGAGAGTACCGCAACGTTTTCCCTTCGGATTTCTCAAACAGCGGAATCCCTCTGCACAGTGTTGAGCATTTTATCAAACTCGTGCATGACTATCGTGTCCACCATCAGTCACCTTACTGACTCTCGATTCTAGAGGCGACGAAACTCAACTGTCAGCTTGAGGAGCTCCTTCGATTGAGTATCATTAAACTCAGTAACTCCCCTTGGGGTGCACCCGTCTTCTTTGCTTGCAAAGCAGACGAAACTCTTCACCTCTGCATTGACTACCGCAACCTTAATCGTTACACGGTTAAGAAAATTAATATCCCATGTCTCGCGCGGATAAGTTGTTTGACCGTCTGGCAAACAACCGCTTTTTCACGAAGATCGATCTTCGTAGCGGTTACCACTAGATCCACGTTGCCGTAGAGGACGAGTCGAAGACCGCCTTTTGATCGCACTTCGGCCACTACGAGTTCACGGTGATGGCATTCGGCCTCACCGACGCACCCGCCACCTTCCAGATGGCGATGAACGATATGTTCAGGGACATCCTTGATGAATACGTTCTCGTATACTTAAACGACATCTTGGTTTACAGTTGTACCTTAGAAGGCCACCTCAAACACCTACGCAATATTCTACAGTGCTTACGCAAGCATGACTTTTATGCAAAGCTTAGTAAATGCCGCTTTGTGTAGCGCAAAGTGGACTTCTCAGGACACCATGTGTCTGACCAGGGTCTCCATATGGATGGTGCGAAGATCACTGCTATTGTGGAGTGGCCCGTCCCTACATCCGTCAAGCAGCTTCGCAGTTTCCTAGGCCTCACTAGTTACTATAGTAATTTCATCCGGGGATACGCTAGGTATTTTTATGTCCTTACCTCCACCGTCCTCCGGAAGAACCCGCCATGGTTTTGGACACCCCTGTGCGAGAACGCCTTTCGCTCCCTCAAGAAGGTAACTAGTGCGTCGATTCTTCACCTCCCTGATTTTGATCGCCCCTTCATAGTCACCACTGATGCGTCAAATTTTACAGTAGGAGTTGTACTTTCTCAGGTGTTTCCCTCTCCTCCTGATTCACCTTATCCCCATGTTTTCCACTTCTCCCCCCCCCCTCTTTCTGCTGACATTGCTTCTGGACTGACGCCTATCCTCCCACCACTTCCCTCCACTGACAGTCCTCCCGTCACTTACTCCCCGCCCATCGTGGAGGATGAGACTGGCGAGGCTCGTGCTATAAATTGCCCGATCACTTTCTACTCCCATCAGCTACTGCCCGCCGAGATAAACTACATTTTCGACGAACGTGAGGTTCTCGCAGTAATTTATGCTACCCAACATTGGCGGTATTATCTGCACGGGCGCCCTTCCCGGTGCGCACAGACAACTCAGTTGTCCAAACTTTCCTCACGAAGCCCGAACTTTCCCCTCTACCGATATGCTGGTGATGTGATTTATCCGAGTTCAGTTTCACCACTCAGCCTATCAAGCGTGTAACGAACCGCGTCGCTGATACCTTATCCCGTCGTCCTGACCACAATCAGGAACCCATCCATCTTGCTTCCATCTCCGTCACCACTGTTGACCAGTTGGTGATCTATGCATATCACGCTCAGTACCGCCACTGCTTGGATTATCATGACATACACACGACACTGCGGCGTGGCCAAACCGTTCTTTCATACTCCTTTGGTGAGAACGGCCTCGTGTACTGGCGTGGTAGATCTGGTCAGTTAGAACCACGTATCTGCTTTCCCTCCACCGGACAGCTCCACGTCCAGGCTGTAACAGATTTCCATGACCAGGCAGTTGCCAGTCATATGAGCTTCCACAAGACGTTGGCTCGTGTTTGTCACCTATACATCTAGCCAAACTCCAAGAACTTCGTCAAAGTCTAAGTCCAGGAGTGTCCTACCTGCCATATGGATTACTTCAGCCCCTACCCATACCTGATGGCCGTTGGCAGTCCATCTCGATGGATTTTGTTGGTCCCCTCCACCCACCCACTGAGCGAGGTGATGATGCTATCTTGGTCGTTGTTGATCGCTTTACGAAGTGTACACGTTTTGTCTCGTGCCACTATCGCATTAGCGCTCGTGAGGTTGCCGACATCGTCTTCGACTGATTAATGAGATATCACGACTTACCTCAGAGCATCATCTCCGACCGTGCCCCGCGCTTTACCAGCACATTCTGGCGACGCTTGCACGAGATGTATGGATCCCAGCTCCGCTTCTCATCATCTTACCACCCTCAAACGGATGGTCAGACTAAGGTCACCAATAAAACTCTCAGTAATATCCTCTGAATGTTTGTTAGGGATGACCAACAGTGAGACTTACACTTAGCCCACGCGGAGATTCCATACAACCACCCTGTTTCACCAGCCACGGGGAGGTCGTCATTCTATTGCAACCTAGGCTACCACCCTCGCGTACCCGCAATTTCCTACGACTGTCGCGGTTGTGCCCAGACACTCGTTGTCTTGCACTTGACAACTGGATAGCCCAGATGGTGGTGATTATGAGGCGCGAACGCGAGAGTCTAGCCGGCTCCCAGACTCGCATGGCCGCACGAGCGAACCGATCACAAATGAATCATTCATTCAAAGTCGGTGACGATGTGCTCGTCGACGCACACCATTTGCAGCTCGAAGCGGATACGCTTCGCAAGTTCAGGTGTCGCTTCTTCGGTCCATGTCGCATCCTTCAGGCCATCGGTTCTGATACTGCCGCTAGTCCGGTTAGCTTCCCTATCAAGCTACCTAATTACCTTCGACAAACTCGCATACATGATGTTTACCACGTCTCCTTGCTGTGTCCTTATCGCAGACCGTCTGGGCGTTTCGCCAGGCGCCCTTAGGAGCACCCTCCACCTATCATGGTGGACGGTCACCAAGAGTACGTCGTTTCTGACATCGTATCTCGCCGAGTTACCAACGACACCTCTCCACACATCAAGTAGCTTGTGTGTTGGAAGGGCTATCCTGACGAGGAGGCTACTTGGGAGCCCCTCGAGCACTTGGAGCATGCCCGGATGTGGTGCGTGCATATGATCGTGCTCATCGTGCTGAAACATCTGCTCCTACTCAGCTGATTGACCCTCTTCCTCCTCCTCCGACTGAGGAGATTGCTGAGTACGAGCCCGCTCCCTCTGATGTCGTTCTTCAACAGCAGACGAACGCCTCCACACGTCCATAGCGCACTCGTCTACGCCCTCGACGTCTCGACGACTAACACCCTGATCACCTACTATCTTCCTACTGACTCACACCTTCAGGTACTCCATCATCAACTTCTTCAGGATGTCAACGTTCTGCGCCTTTGCTTCGACATCGGCTCGACTCCCACTTCATCGACGTCATCGACCACTTCGACGACTTCAACTACCATATTGGGTTCAACTACTTTGGACGTGACTACTTCACGCCACCACCTTACCCTGTACATTCCCTTGCATGTGTCGCATGATGGTTCTCACTTAGCTGGGTCTCTCTGAGTTGGACTCTCCCTTGGTATCGCATAGGCATTGAGACCGTAGCGTTATCTTGACCTCCCTGCTCTCAGATCTAGCTCCCTCCCCCAATCGGTGAGCTGTGTGCATGTGTTCCCGCACCCACTGCATCCCTCATGGGGCTGTGACAAACTGTTTCGTCGGAGTTTCACCGACTCATCAGGAGGCTGAACCCTCAACAGTCTGTAGAATCCCCTCACTGATTACACTGTAAGTGATAATCCACCTTAACCAAA